CCCGTTACACAGTCTTATGTCTTATTAGCGATTGTCTCTTTGATTTCTCAAGTTGATTACATAATTCTTGATATCTTGCTACTCAAACTTACGTAGAAATTTCAATGCACGCTCTATGTCAGGATCATGAGTATAATAAAAGGTTGTTCCATACTTGTATCAAATTTCAAGCCCTTGCGAATCAAATCAGCAGTTAATAACTGAAAACTTCATCTTCCACTTTGTGATTATAGACTTCTTTATTATCACAAACTTTCATAAATTCGATCAAATCGTCCTCATGCAAAGGGCACGAGCCCCCATATTTTTGGGAAATTCATGCTAGAACAAAAAATTAAATTCGTGTACCGTGTAAAAAGAGTTGAGTGTATTTGCTTTCCATTACGTAATATCCCCAAACCCTTAATTAAGAGGGAGAAAAACTGTGCCTCTTTTTGGACTCGGTCGCCTAGCAACTGCAAAACCGGACGGTTGTTAGATCGACAGCACGTGCGTCTCCACGTGATGAGAGTGTATTTACCTTTACCAGTCTGCCTGGCTCACTTTTAGGGATTCGATGTCAAGGTGCGTATCGCATGGCGGTTGAAAAATCACAGGGACGTCTGCGACCGAATTTTCTAGTCGCTTTTCATACTTGGCGTTTTCAAAAATTTTAATGACATAAATTTGATATTTTGATCCAAATCTTCATGTTTGAGAATTTTTATGTTTAAAATCATGATTCCTATGCTCGAAAACTGTGGGATCAGGGTCCCGTTAACCAATAAGGGATTTTTTTAGAAACAACGAAAAATAAATAAATAAAAGTTCCCCCAGCGTTTAAAAGAGAAATTCTTTTTTAAGCTATTCCAAGACCAAGGTATAAACATAATCAAATGAATGATTTGAATAGGATATTAATACATTGCACTTATAATTAATTAAAGTGTTATTTATTTCGGTTAATATTGCTATTATTAACTATTACATCCCTGAAATACATTTTTTTAAAACCTTTTTTTTTATTGTTAAAAAATCCTCAGTTTTCCTATATATTTTTACACAATATTACAATATATCATCAAACCGTGCACTTTCTAGGCCCGATTGTGTATTCATAATGAAGAACAAGATTACGAAAACCGGTAATGGAGCATGAATTACATACTATAACATCGAGCACAATAAATGATGTATTTGTACAGAGTTCCATTCGAGATGAGGTAATACCATTAAATGTAAGCAAAAGATTTAAACAATTATGTAATGATCGACCATTAGTGTGTGAGGGTCGGAAGGAAGATTAGCCCTTTTTCAAAATAACTTACCGTAAAATCCGGCGTATAACGCGCACTTTTAACAGAAAAAAGAAGATCGAAATTTAAGGGTGCGCGTTATACGCCGGGTATAAAAATGAGAGCTTGAAAAATGAAAAAGGAGCATAGAAAAAAAATAGGCTTCTACATACATCAAAATACTGTTTTTTGAAATAAATGACATTTCTTATAAACTTAAAGGGTTGTATTTCTAGAATTATACTATTTTGTCAAAAGTCTGGGATAATACCTCAAATAAATGGCTTCAAAACATACGAGAATCACATACATACATTTCAAGTTTTTTCGTAAAAAAAGGGGTGCGCGTTATACGGTGAATGTACCTTAAAATTAAAAATTGCAGTTCTAAAGTAAGGGTGCGCGTTATACGCCGGATTTTACGGTATATTTATTCACAACTCTGAAAACAATACAAATTCTATAACCCAAGCTAAGAAATGCACCAATTACTAAGTATGGAAAGCAACACAGCGAGGTAGACTCGAAACTAGCATACTTAATAAATCGGATCACTTACGTCCAGGCAATGCACCTTCTAATTCCAAGCGACCTAATCCAATTTAATTCTTAATTGACCAAATCGTCAATCTTAATATTACTAAAAAGCTACAAATTGCTCGCGCTTAACTTCACGTTAAATCAATCACTGCTATTTGTTAGCAGTCTAAGCTCTCTTTTTCTAACTCGAAAGTTTGATCTTTATATATAAGTTTTATTTTACATAATCATATCTTCTTCGGAGGAAGGTTTATAATAGAATAACTTTTATATAAAGACCCAATATTCCCCAAAAAGATTATTAGTGGAAGGAACACAGATAGACCCGTTACAATATTATTTTTCTATTATTAACTAATCCATGTTACATAAAACTATCGATAACAGAAAGGAGGAAAATTATTTTAGGATATATTTCAGCTCAAGAAATAGCAAAAATAACCGCAAGAAAAATTCCTGTTTGGAATAAACTTTGTATACAGCTAAATGTTTGTAGGTTTTCAAGAATTCTATAAAGCAATAGCCAACAAAAATATTACCAAATATAATTATATGTAATAATAATTTAGTTTAAATTGAAAGTTTACCTTAAATCGATGCATAAATGTTTGTTGCCATCTGCTAAGGATGAAATTCTTTTTTTTTTTTTATTTCATAAAAATACTGATTGGTATCAATGTTCTAGTATTCCTTATATGATTTCAACAATCTTAAATCGGAAAAAAAAATAATAGTATCATTTTTTAAGTCATTATTCTTGCAAGTGATGTCGAAAGCATTGTATAGGGGGGAAAAAACAGTTATCACTTTTTCTACAAACAAAGAAAAGTAAAATATATCTAGAAAAATATATCGATAAAATAGTAATTCTAAGTTTCCGCAACAATTTTCCCTTGCGATCCTTATCTATTTTTTACATCTTCTACTGATTTTTCCCTCAAATCCATGATCTGTAATGTACTGAATCTTGTATTTGTTATAACAAGTATCGGACTTTGGACAAATATTTATTTTCTATGAAAAATAATTTATGGTTTATTACTTTTCCAGAATTCTAAGAAAAAATTATTAAGATGCAAAAAGTTCAGGTAAGAGCATTTTACTTGTTTTTTAGCT